ACTCACGGTTGACCGGCGATTTGACTAAATGACCTTTAATAATTTATTTTAAGACTCAGTAAAAGAAAGTTGTACTTTTAAATTATTTACTTTCTATCATCATTATATATTTAATTATTTACTCCTTGAAGGTAATTAACTAAAGGGAGGTATTCTAAGGGAGGGGATTAATCGTTAACAAAATCGGTTGAACAAATCAAATAATAAGGTATAAGAAAAATAAACATACATACATATATAATAAATGACTATCCTTTGGAATTAATAAAAGTCAATCAAAGTGTTAGTCAATCCAAAAATAATAAGTAAAGGAGGAGGAGGAAAGAGTATTTGGATTTGGGTCAATTACCCAAATTCATCTAATTGGGCTTTGGCTCACCCGTCCTAATTCTGAATTTATACCAAATGGACTTGGGCCCAAACTTGCTAAGCCTGTGGATTTGTTTTGGGCCCTTTTGCACCTGTATTCCGTGATACACCAAATACTTTGGCATATATATCATGTATATGGCTGTTTTTCATGCTCATGGTCCTGTATTTTATTTGAGTTCAATGGTCCTGCACATTAAGACTGCATTTTCACGTTTTACACCTATCTGCGGTATAGTGCATCCGTATACCAGTGTATACAAATGGTATATCGACCTGTTCTTCGACTTTCAAAAGCTGGAAAATACTTTTTAGAGGTATATCTTTACTGCTCTCATCCTTTATTTTGAGTTCGGACCCCCTACGCATGTTTTGACCTGTATATCGATGTATCAAATGGGTATAACAACCCATTTCCAGGCTTTGGAGGGCCTGCAACTCAATTTCCAGTCATGTATTTACTGTATTCAACCTGTGCCAGATTTTCAGGGAGGGGCTGACCAACATCAGGGAAGGTGGCTTGAGACTTCACGGCTCAACGAGGAATGCAAATAGAGGAGTTCATGATGAACTCGGGTTGGTTTCACATGCAACAAACGGGAAGAAGAAATTTTAGAAAAACTATTGATGAAGTAACAAAGAAAACTGAATAAGGGTGACTATTGATATTCGTGAAAGCCACACATGTACAAATCAAGCTCTAAAAAACTACATGATGGTTATTATAACTCAACATCATCAAGGACTAAAATAAAGACATAACTGTGAGACATTCTTTGCATATACACAAGATCACAATAATTCTAAATAAATAAGAGTTGAGACAAAACCAATCAATTACGCTAGTGGGTAATTTCTTGAATAGTTTAGAGCGATGCATGCAAAGAGAGGATTATACTTGTTCAAAGCATGATATTCAAGCAAGCCGTCATTTAAGAAGATAACAAAGCAAGGACTTTACATTTATGACTTGACAAGGATACTATATGCTAATTGGAAAGAAAGTTTAAGCCAGAACTTATGCTTATTGTAGCAAACTGTAGTGACTAAAATTCTAACCAAAAAAAAATGCCACTGTTAGTGAAAGTTCAAGCATGAGAACAAACAGGTGAACTTCCCCATTTAGGCATTCTCTCCGATTTTTAACAAGGAAGAAAGTACATTGGATCGACATAAGCAGCCATGAGGTTCAATACATATTAAAACCAGAAATAATATACATTTCAAAGCCATAATAGAGTAAAACCAGCCCTTTAAGACTATAAACTTTCAAAAAAAAAAAAAACTTCAAGTAACTACTGTTTTGTCTCATATCCAACTTAAGACGAGAGAGTAATGGCTTAACAACGAATGTGAAACGAAAATGCCCACACATGATGGCTAAAGAGAAGGACTAAATGAGAAGAACAACAATTTTTAGATTAAAAAAAACATTCCAAAGAAGATACACAACCTCATATGCATTCTTGGGCAATATTCTCGAGTCCATCACTGTAAAGGAACGAGAACATGCTTGAAAGATTTCAAAAATCAATTTAACAGTAATAGACCATATCCAAATCCTATGAACAAAATCGACAGACTTCTCATTCCATTCTCAATCTTCATAGGTGTTTGAAGACGAGCAGCCGACATCAACAACATATATCGACCTTAAACACGAAACAAACTATTCGAAACCAAACGAAACTCTCATCACTATCAAAGATAACTCACAGAGGATATAAAACAAACGAGCAAGAGGAGGAAAAACCAACAGAGAACTTCATGCTTACTGAAACATAACAAGATAAAATGACGAGCGAGTTGAGATAAAAGAAGTTCATCTTGATCGGGGCAGCGAGCTAGAGATGATGCGAGCAGTGGATTTATCTTCACCACACGACTTGAATTCGAATGACAAACAAGAATTGGGCAATGTTTCTGCTTCGAACACGACTTTTGGGTATATATATGTGTGTGTGCGCGCGCGCTTATCTATTTCCTCTCTTAAGCTGCTATAAAAATTTCCTCATGAATAGATTTTCTCTCCAAAAATCCCCCTCAATATAGAATAGATGAGAGTTTATATAGCAGAACTTGGTGCTGAGCAAAAGGGGGAAAACGGGCAGATTTTTGAGAAGGAAACAGGATAAGCTCCAACTCCAAAATTCAAAAATCCCTGGAGGATAAGGTTGCCAGCTAAACCGAGTACAAATCCTCAACGGAACAAACAATCACAGCCATTGAAATGCGAGTGAAGGACGATGGAGAAAGGGGATTTCTCCACCTGGACTGCTCGCGTACGAAGGATGAGGGGGAAAAAGGAGAAAACACACACCCGCGTCTGGCTTTCAGCGATTCTGGACGCTCTCGCGAGTGAGCTCGATCAAATTGGTTCCTTTGCGCGTGAAGGGGAAGAACAACGTACTGTTACCCACGCCTGCCAAGAGTTTTCGCGCGCGAAGAAGAAGAAGAGGATTTGGGTCGGGCCTTAAAGGGAAACAAGGTAAATTTAATGGGCTGGAAAAGGGAATGGGTTTTGGGTTGAGGTGGGCTGGGAATTAAATTAACTTTCTGAAATTTAGTTAAAAGAAAAGAGGAAGGAAACAAAAAGTTGGGCCTGGAAGTTTATTTAGAGAGGGCTGCTGAAATTTGAAAACAAAGAGAAAACTTATTTGGGAGATGGGCTGAAGGAGGATAAAAGGTTGGGCTTGGTAATTAAAGGACAATTGCTGGAAATTGTTAAAGGTATTACAAATTTAGCCAATTTTAATGTAATTGGTCAATTTGACTAAATCTTACAAATAAGATAAATTAATATAACTAATTAACAAGCTTCTTAAGTTTAACAAAAATAAAATAGTCGATTCGGATATGAACTAAGGGTTTAAAATATAATCTAAGTTAATCAAACATCCATACAAAATATTATTATATCTTCTTGATTTTTAAACAATTATATGAATAATTAGGTAAGATATATACGCTAGCTAAAATAATTAAACGACGCTTAACTTTAAACGCGATCAAAATATATTTAACTTATTATTTTATATTATTTATATATATACTAATTTATAAAAAATAATTATTTTAAATTGTTTAAACTCGGGAAGCTCGACAATTAATTACTATAGAGGAGGGTCAAAATTGGGGTGTCAACACTTATGTTACACCAAAGCTCGATGGTTCAAAGATATCAAATCTACCAATTGACCGAGTATATCTGATATATGTTCACTACGGAAAGTTTAAAGGGAAACCTACTTATCCAGATGCAATTAACCCTTGCTTACGAATCACATAATTTTTCATGCATATGTTTTTAAAAATTAGTCTTTCCCTATTCAAGTGGGGGATTGTTGGGTTTTAAAGGTGTGAACAGGAAATGAAGAGTTGTGACTCTCCTGAAGGGTTGTAACTTCGCTGGAGGGTTGTGACATTTATGAAAGGTTGTGTCCTTTCTAAATGTTTGTGACCGATTGAAAGGTTGTGCCTTTTCCAAAGTATTGTGACCTTTCTAGAAGGTTGTCTTCTTTCCTAAGAGTTGTGACCTTTACCTTTTGTTGGCTATAAATAGAGATGTTGACTCTCATTTTTCAACATTGAATTCTTCCCTTCTTTTGCATACATTTCTTACAAAAAAAAAAATTGATCATGTCTGTGTGTGTGATTCATTGCCGTCATTTTGAGTTCGCTAAAATTATTGAAGTTTGAGGTACCGCTACTTCTTTAATGGTCAATCCGTTTTATCTTGGGTTGAATTAATCTGCAATCTCGGATACTTGAGGGAATTAAATTTCTTAAGTACACATAGTGAATTCTTTGGACTCGGATATTTTTTTGTGTTTTTATTTCATCTTCTATTATTTTTTCTGATTCGCCAATCTGAATACAGGAGATAACAATTATAACCTATAACATATAACGTATAAACTTTAAAAGATTTAAATCTTGAAAACTTATAACATAAACTCAATTTTTTTTTAAAAAAATAACTTTATTAACTTAATTTACAAACTTACAAGTAAACATTTTTTTTTTAAAAAAAAAACTTAAAATAAATTAAATTAAGTAAAGAGACAAATAAATATTATAAATTTCAAAACTTAAATACTTTATAAATTATTATACTTAGAAAAAAAATATTCACATTTTCGTAATTCATCTAACTCGATCAAAATTATTATTTTTTGAAATAGTTATATATTCCTTCACGTTTATCCCATTCTGTTCCATTTCAGTTCATTCAGATTAGTTCTAGTTCTATCTCTGTATAGACTGGGACAGAATGAAATCGCATTTTCATTCCTATAATTTTGGTCTGATTTATTCTAATATCGATTGGATACCGATTTATTCTGGTCTAGTGGTCTCATTCTGATTCGGTGACCAGTTATATCACTTTGATACTAGTTTTACAACCAGTTAAATGTGAAAAGTGTGTGTAGCACTCTCGTTGGTGACATATCAAAATGACAAATTAAATGAAGACGTGTTACATATATATTGAAAACAATTTTTAAATAACAATTTTAAGGAGAAAAATCGACAAATCACACAATGGCATGTGTCATATTTAAACCCAAATAATTCAGAAAAAAATTAACATATAGTCTACCCAATTATCTTCTCCAGCACCCACCATCCCCAAATCCCTAACCCCATTAGCACCACTCAATCCCCAACACCTATCTCGCATAAATCATTTTCCCCACCACCAAATTCTCAAACCCTCTTCTACCCAAATTATCTTACCCATCAGACCCACCACCCAAACCTCCGCCCCTCTCCCACAAATCATCTTCCACGTCAGTTTTTCGCTCATGGAAGATTCATCTTGTTCAATCTTCCTCAGTTAAATTCTCTATTGTTTCTATATTTTCTTATGATTAATTATAGCTTGATCTACTATAATTTTAGTTATTTTTTTTTAACTAATTACCACTATTGAATCTACTTCTCTTTCAATGATTTTAAGTTTAGGGATATGGTAATATGGGAAAGAAAAAAATATGTAATACTTAAAAAATTGAAAAGTTGAGTTGGAAAAAAAAGTTGCAAAAAATTATAAGTGCAGTGATCTACAAGTCTCACGAACCATAGGATGTCCTAGAAGTTGTAGGAAGGAAGTCGTAAACCTAGAGTGTTGAGTTTTTGTAAGTTCAAGTTTCTGAAGTCTGACCCACGTCTTGATCGAGCGATCCATAGAAATTTAAACAAGACGTAAATGGCACTTGTAGGATGGATTCAAAGATTTGATTTAGGATCTCAGGCCTACAGAAGATAACAACAGGTCATAAGAGGTTTAATGGATCATAAAAAAGGTCTCGTAGAGAGGTTTCAGACTTAGTGTAATTTTAGACTCAAAGTTGAGGACTACGAATGGGATCCACGAATGTAGCAAGGTCGACGACTCATAAAATTGTTTCGTAGAGAGTTGTTCGCACTTTGGGTTTCTAAAGTTGGTTTTACAAATAACCAGTATGAGTGGTAGAAACTTCTACAGACCATAGGTCCGACTTTTAGGACTATACGAGATCTATTTACTAAGGGTATGTGGGTCTTTTCCTATGCATTTAATTGCTAGAATATATCGTTTTGACCCTAATTCTATGATCTGCAACTAACTCTCTATTCTTAAATTAACCTGAACTCTCTCGTTCTCTTGGATTCCCAAAATTCCATCCAAGTTCATCCCTTCTAAATTCTCTCAAGCTTCAAGAAAGAAAGCTAGGGTTCCAAGCTTCAAGGCTTCTTTTTCCTCCATTGCTTTTGGTTTCGATCAACAAATATGTGGGAATTCATTAATGGATGGGACTCAAAAGATCTCCATGTTTCAAATTCAATTTCTTCAAAATTGATTAGGTTTTTATCCAATTTCTCAGGATCTTAAATTTTATGATTCAATTGTTCAATTTTAGTCTTCTTAATTTGATTCAATAATGTCTATTAATTTGTTTCATATGAACTCATGCATTATTCATGATTTTTATAATAAAATTATGAAGATATGAATTTATGAAGAAAATTATTAACTTATGAATGATGTTTTATGAAAATAATACTTTTATGAATTAAGGTTGTTGGTAAGATAAGCATCAATGAAATTGTGGAAGCTTTTTCTCACATATTAAGAAATCATGATGTGGTGAAAGATTTTTCGGCATATGAATGATTCATGATATAAGGAGCTACTTTGATGATTTAAGCTTGAATTAGTAAGTTAATTGTGTTTTTTCATGTATGATGATCTATTTATGAAGATATCTCGTTGAGATTTCCTTGAGATGAAGATTCTCCCATAAGTAGAGGTCAGATCTCTAGAAGCACTCTCTTTGTCCCTAACTATGTGCCCCGTATGATTTCTCTTAGAAAGAAATAATAGTGGATACACCAAAGCTAGAAGTTTAAGGTCATTGCCTTAGCAAGCAAGTACATCTTTTATTAGTATGGAGCAAGACATCGAATTCCATGTTATAATTCACATGGTCTATGTCAATTAATGGTAAATATATCACAAAATGAACTAAGTTACTTTCAAAACATTTATGAAGCTTATATTATGATTTTAAGATGCATTCTTAATGTTCATGATTATAATAATTCTTTAAAGCTTTTACTATGTTTTAGTTTGGTTATGCATATCACATTTCTTTTATGTCTCCTTATGATCATGTTTCATATTTTTATGCATATATTTCATAATTAGTACATTGCATGTACTAATGCATAATTGTGTCTATCACAATTTAGGGTTCCTTTCCTCTCACTCATGGATAGATATGGATTGCTACATACTGTTGTGAATTGGTGAGTCATCATATTCTAAAGGCAAGACCATGAAGACTTTACTTTTGATGTCATTATTTTTGAGACTTTGTATGTGGTGTATGTGTTACGTCACAACCACTCTTGATGTTTAAGATTGGTTGCCAAACCTAATATTTTTTGCACTTATGTTCCTTTCATAATATGAGACTACTTTACCTATTCTATTCTATCTATAATGTTGTGTTATATGCATATCAAGTGACTTGTGTAGGGTTTTTTGGGGTCTTATATGTCATGTCACACCTAGGGTGTACTTTGAGTCATGATGAAATAAAAATAATTAAATAAGCATTTGACACGCTGGTAATGATATGAGTGTATCAGACTCACTATGTCACATTAGAAATAAGTGTCAAACTGGAACAACAGGGGATAACATAAAGATGAACAATATATGTTTAAGGTGTTTAACTAAAAATTGATTTCAATTTTAGGTGGTCACGAATAGATTAGGCCGACGTTAAATAAAAAGGTATTCCCTCCTCTAATTTTACTTGTAAACTTGGGAATTTACACACCCCTTAAAATAATTATTGATATGATTATTTTAACTTAATAATTATATTAATTGATGTTTAGTATAATGTCTTAAAAAATAATTTAAGAAACAAGTAATTATTTGAAATGTCTGCTTTGATCATTTTTTACTTTTGATTTATAAGCTAAAAGTCAAAAATTACAAATTTTAATTTATAGCTTAAAAATCTACTTAAAACATTTCAAAATAAGTCAATTCAAATATGAAAAATATATTATTTTTCTTAATACATACTAAAAGGTTATAAAGAAAAGTGAAAATTGAGTGAACAAGTAAAATATGAGTCTAGTGAGTAACATGTAGTTGTCGTGGTCTTATACTCAAATATCTTTTATATATTTCTCTTTTCTAGGTAATTTTTTGCTATTTATCGATATTTTATTTCTAGTTAATTTTTGAATATGTGTTGTACATGTATTTCATTTTATATATTCTTGATTAAATATATAAAATTGCCTATATTTACGAAATACTTTTTTGTATTTTTATTAAACTATGATTAGTATCTTTTTAAAATTTGTTTATCAGGTGCACCAAAAAAATTAAATTCAAACTACGCAATATTTATTTATATTCTTAACAGCCACCCTAGTCAACAAGCTATGTAGGTATTTTTTTTTGCAGGAATAAACATAGAAGAGATATATCTACAACAACTCATAATATCTTTGTGGAAACAGAAAACAACATAACATATATAGAACAATACCAGCTATCATCATGTGGAGCTTATAGAAAATAGGAATTCCCTCAAACATGACAATAAAATCAGCTAGGAAGGAATGGTGGAAATGACAATTAATGTGGTCAGGCAGATGGTAAAGAGTCAATTTCTATGGATAAAGAAAATGAGATGGTCATGGCAAGAGATAATTAAAAAATTAACACAGTACGAGTCCAAAAACTTAAGTGTCACATGAAAACTTCCTGAAGATTACCAAGTACAGTGTAACACTAATGGAGCATGAAGAGGTAACCGAGGTTGGAGATATTTAGAATTTTGTATTAGCGATAATCGAAGGAATTTCATATATGACAAAGCCAAGGATATTGACATTGCATCAAATATGGAAGCAGAAACTGTTGTTATCCTAACATCTCTTTAAAATATTGCAGCAGAATAATCCAAAATGTAATTATTGAGATCGATTCACTCGGTCTGAAAATTTCACTCATAAAACTTGGAGAATCTCTTGGAAAATAGCATAAAAAGGGGAGATAATGAAGAATATTAGTGCAATTATTACACACATTTTTAGAGAGGGTAATAATTTGATTTTTTTTTGGCTAATATAGCTAAAAAATCACAAACGGAGCATTCATATTGTTAGGAACTAGGATTTTAAATGCAGATAAATTAAAAGTTCCTACTCAAAATCAGAAAACACAAAATCAATCTACAATGAGTATAAGACAGACCAAACATCATACAAGCTAAAAAAAAGTTAAGTTGTAAAGCATGCAAAGACTAATGGAAGAGCAAGGCACAACCAAAATTCATAAAGAGTCATAGAAACACCAGCAAGATCTCCAATATTCCAGCATATAAAAAGAGGTTGAAAAGCATAAGAAAGTATACAAATATTATGTCGTGTAATGAAGACAAAATTGGAAACACAAAGCTAGCTTCCAGCTTCGGTATTCAAAACTTACATAATGGAAAGGGGTAGGGGTTATACATATTAAGGAAGATAAAATTCAGCTAGGAGGCATCAAACACAGCGGAGCCGCCATCGTCTCATTCCTTCATCATCACATAAGAGATAGAGGACCCGAAATCTTGAAAACGAACAACAAAAATGATTAATTTAATTCATTAAACTCATTTAGCTAAAATAATGATCATATTATTTTAATTTTTTTAAATTAATTTATTAAGAATGAATTTCATACTTAAAATCTTTTATCATAATTGAACTTTTTATTTTTTTATGTTATGCAGAATACATTTTTAAAACGTACTACAATCTCATCAATTTCAAATACTTATAAACATATACATTCAAAAATATTGGTATACAAACCACTCCTAATTTACTTCAATTAATCATAAATTGTATAATAAATCAATTATATTAAAGTTCAATTAATTATTAAAAAATAATTATTTGGATGCTTTGAAATCGATACATATATATATATATATATAGAGAGAGAGAGAGAGAGAGAGAGAAAATAAAATTTTGATATTTATTTATCAGTATATTAATCTCATATAATATGTATACTATGAATTAAATAAGTAAATTCAATTAATTATTAGTTTATTTATTGATGTTTAATTGTATGAAAAGTTATAGTATAATATAATATAGAATAAAAGAATAAAAATAAAAATAGAAAAAGTTAAATAATAATTTTCTCTTTCTTATCAATTTTTTTGTCAATCTTACAAATTTATCTAAATACTTTTATTAAAAAAATTGTTTAAAATTTTCAAATAATTTAGTTAGGAATTTTAAAATTATTAGGTAATAAGTGCACATAGAGATTTTTTCATTTAATTTTGTTTGGTGATAATAGATAAAGTTACTAGACTTTTTAAATTACTTTTCTTATAATCTTCATAAATTCTCATGTAATTTATATATTTATTTAGAGACATAAGTTTGATGAATCAAATAGGTTTAGAGTATTTCATTAAAATGATTATTAATGACAGGACATATCAACTAGAATTTAAGGAGACTTTTGAGGTATTTAGTATTTCTAATGGATAAAAAATATATTATCATTCACTTTCTTCTCTATTTTTTCAAAAAATATAATAACGGAAGCATGAATTGCAAAATATAAAATTAATATTACTGTATTGGCCTTTAATATTATTAATTTATTATACAACTTATGATTAATTGATGTAAAATAGCGTAAATGAGTGATTTGTATATCAATATTTTTTTTTAATATGTGTTTATAAGTATTCAAAATTGATAAAATTATAGTACATTTTCAAAATGTATTCTTCATAACATAAAAAAATAAAAAGTTTAATTATGATAAAAGATTTTAAGTATGAAAATTTATTCTTAATAGATTAAAAACTAATTAAAAATAATATGATCATTATTTTAGTTAAATAGGTTCAATTAAATAAATTAGTCTATTATTAAAAAAAGATTTTAATGACATGTCATGCCAACTAGGAGAGAGTGATGATTTTAAAGTGTCAAGTATATTTGGAGGAAAATGGTGATAGTTGAGTGATATTTTGGTCCTAAATGAAACATAAATGATATTTCAAGACATTTTTCTTAACTTGTGTGACCATTTAGGAAATTGACTCTAAAAAGAAAGGAAAAAAAAGCAACAGAAAGAAAGCAAGAGAGAGCAACGAAAAGAAAGCAAGGGAAAAAGATCTACATAAAGGAAAAACAAGGGGAGAAAGAGATAAAAAGAGAGACAAATGTTGAAAAGACGAGAGAGAAAAAGAGAAAGAAGCAAGGGAGAAAGACAAATCTAAGTAAAAATATAGTATTGTTATATATTGCTATAAATGGTAATAATCAAAGAGTATATTTAAGATAAGTAATTATTTTTTTAAAAATATTCACTCAAGTAATTAATTGTTTTACTAGATACAAAAGTCTGGTCAAGTCCGGCCTAATATATATTATTTTATTTGTTTTAATTTTATAATTTTGTTGTTAATTATTTTTTTAATATTTAAACATACTTTTTAAATAATATATAAGGCACATGCGATATTTTGAGAGTCCTAATTTGCAAGTAGCCACAAATAAATAGAGAATTATTTAAATTATCCTCGACATCAAATTTCATTTCAGGAAAATAGACACGTTGACCGAGACGTGTATGATTATTTCCTCTTATATATTAATAGTGAATACACATGTTTACATAAATTTGGATAATAAAATAACATATGTTATTTAAAATTACTACTATAAATTATAATAATTAACAACATAAATATCTTTAATCATGTTAAAATTTAATTGACTTTCTAAATTTTTCCTTATCACATAAATTATGACAAGTTATAACATATATTGGGGTCGTGCTAGCATAAGTACTTGTGTCTAGTAATAATAGAAAAAAGGCTCAAATGTTTTATCAAACTTTAAAAAAAGGTTCATTCATGTCATTGGTTAAAATTTTGATTCATCTATGTCATTATAATTAAAGAAAAGACTCATTCATATCATTTTTTTAACTCCAATTTTGTTAAATCACATTTTACACCCCAAATAAGTTTAACACTTTTCAATTGAAGTTTTTGGATCAAATATACAATTTTTGCTTCTTCTCTTCTTCTTCTTCTTCTTCTTCTTCTTTCTATCTTTCTTTCTTTCTTTCTTTCTTTACGAACACCAATAATAGATAAAGTACATTATTCAAACTTCTTCAATTCTTCACGAGATCACCTATTACTTCGACTAAATCATTGATTTCTTCTTGAATTTTTTAATAAAATAAAATTCTAAAATTATTTGGACAGCTTGAAAAATTCGCCTGTATTAATAAAGAATATTCCAGAAAATCAATTCCAAAATTTTAAAAATTTATTTTGATTCATGTTTTTGTAGTTACTTTTTACATTAGGGGTGTGTTTGGTATGAAGGAAAATGTTTTCCACGGAAAATGTTTTCCCGGAAAACAAGTAGATTTTGA